GGAGGGGAGGGGGAGGGCAAAGCAAAGCAGAGCTGCTGCTCCTATGCCAAGTGTACCCAGGGTTGTGTCTACAAAGGGGCAGAGGACAAGTGCAGCTGCTGCACCTGATGTGGGAAGAGCCCTGCCCCCAACTGTACACCGAGCAGACTTGCATTTCTTGTCCTAGTCCCCAAAMCCATTTGAAGCCTTCCTTTTCCTATGAACTATGTGGATAATAATACAACTGTTGACAACTTTCTTGGGGAAAAAAAGAAGAGATTTAATGAAATATAAAAGTAAATTCTAGTATCTCCTAATAACAGAATATGATGCAAAAAGAAGACAGAATGAGTATGCTTTTTATGTACTTAATCTGGTAAAATCAGATTAATGTACAAAATCGGCAAAATGTAGCAGAAAGTAGAGGTCAACACATTTTTCTGAAAAAGTTATAATAGTTTCATAAATATTTCTGGTAAATGTTTTAGTCTTTATGAACAATACAGTCTCTGTCACAGATATTTTATTTTACCAGCATAACTCAAAAGAAGTCATAAACAATAAGTGGCAAATGGGCAGAGTTGTGTTCAATAAAATTTATTTACAAAAATAATTGGCAAGCCAGATGCAGTGGTGCACACCTATAATCCCAGAGACTCTGGAGTCTGAAGCAGGAGGATCACAAGCTCAAGGCCAGCCTCAGCAACTTCACCAGCTCCTAAGCAACTTTAAAAAGGCTAGGGATGTGGCTCAGTGGTTAAGTGCCCTCGGGTTCAATCTCTGGTACCAAAAAAAGTACAAGCAACAGCCATAGATTAAGTATAATGTGTGGTATAAATTGAGTATGGAGTAGATACTAGGGAGCTAGATAKAGACATAAAGATATAAATATAGAGATAGAAATCTCTGAAAGAACTCACAAAGAAATTATTTGTCAATGTGCCTCTTGGAAAGGGAAGTGGGGGAAGGGTTGCGGAAGAGCTTTTTATTCTTACACACTTTTGCATCTTTTGAATTTGGAAACTTGTCCTGGTTCCAAATTTGTTACCTACTCAAAAATCAATCAAGGAAACAGCTTACTGTTTTCCAACAATTGAGGGAAGCACATGAGACAGAGGATGCCCCACTGGTGCTCTTACCGGGATCCCTCAAACTGGACCACACTCTGCCCAAACCCCCTTGCGTTCTCTTGGAAGGTCATTGGATTTTCAGTGTCCAGGTTGAATGCACGACACAAGGCGAAGGCTGGAAGGAGAATAAGGTGTTTAGGGTCAGGAGAGGAACCTCTACAGTAAAGGAAGGAGCACACCTTCCTGCACCACATACTATCCTGTCCAGATTCACCCTAACCCATCATCAGGATGTCTGCCTCCAGGGTCTAGTTCTGACTGCCTAGGGCAGGGGTCAGCACATTTTTTCTATAGAGAGGCTGATATTTCAAGCTTTGCAGGCCAAGAGTCTAATAGAATACATATGTACAAATATAACAGGAAAAAAATTCACCTCCACAAATTTTTCATCAAGGAAATTCAAAATATAATTATTAATTACAATTTTTGTAATATAAGTTTAATAATGAGGCAAATGAAGTTCTCTGTAGGGAGATGACATTTCACCTCACTGGATTCCAAATTTCTATTCCCTGTCATCAAATTGGTTATAAATGTTATCTTCAACCTCTGGCTTGCAGATTATAGCCAACAATAGGTGGTGAGCCACATTTGACACATTTACTACCATCAGAGGATGCAGTCAGTCCATCTCTGAGCTCCACCCTCCCTTCTGAGCACAAAAATGTCCTCTTCATCAAATGATTTGCCCAACAATCCTATAGACAATGCTATTTGCCCAAGTTTCTATAGACTCAGTTAGATAATTTCCTTCCCATGCAAGGTTCCTTCTCAAGCATTTCCTTCCCTTCTTGGCTCATTCTCCACAAAATATAGGCATAAAAGGAAACACACTCAAAAACATTTTAATTCATCAGTCATTCAACAAACACTTACACCTGATCCTTGTTAAATAGAACTGCAGGCAAAGTGGAGGCCATAAGGTAGAATCCAAGAGGAAGCCCTCTCTGACAAGAGTCTAACACCTGCTGTGCATCCTCAGGCATATCACTTCATTTCTCTGGGCCTCAGTTTTCTCATTTGTGAAGTGACTGGATGCCAAAGAGCCTTGCACAGTCTATGAATTTAGTCATTCATCCACGCTTTGTGGCCACCTCATCTTTGATCTTACTCTACTCTCTGCTTCTTCTTTGAATCTTTCATCCTTCCCCCCAAACCCCTCTACCTCTCCCCAGCCTAACTCCTACATATTCTGTGTCCTTTCTCTCCATTCACAGACCCAAAAGTTCCCCCTCCTCTCTACCCTGAGGGCCCCCCAAGTCCCTGGTGTACCTGTTAACAGAAGAACTCTACAAGTCATGGCTGAAAGGAGCAGGAACCGGGAAGAAGCATGAACTGTGGGGTTGCAAGCCCCACTGAGCCACTTCAAGTAAGCCACCAAAGCCAGGAAGGGAGAAAAAGAGAAGTAGGAGGGCTAAAACTTTAAGAGACTCAAAGGAAGAGGAGGGAGGCTCACTGAGCACCCAGCCCCGCTTGACCTTCCTGGGACTGCACACAGCCTGATCTCCTGCCCTGCCCAATTTCCTGACCCAAACCATAAAAGTCACTCTCCAAAAGATGTCATTTGTCACCTAGGTTTGGCCAAAGCATTATGGAAAGCAAGCAAAATAGCTTTTGAGCCTGCCTTCTGCAATGTGTGTTCTGAACATTAATACAGATCAAATGAGTATAGGAGCTTCAACCCTGCTTCTCCCTAAAAACCCTTTGCCAAAAAATGGCCCTCCTCTAACCCCTAGAAACAGGAGCACCCTTCACCAGAGCTGTTTGTTATAGCCATCAACAAGGACAACCCGACACAGAGAAAGATGATGTTTTATAATATTTTGCTTTTAAAAAAGCCTCAGGGAACTGGGGTTGTGACTCAGTGGTAGAGCACTTGCCTAGCATGTGGGAGGCRCTGGGTTTGATCCTCAGCACCACATAAAAATAAATAAATAAAATAAGGGTATTGTGTCCAACTACAACTAAGAATATATATACATGTTGAAAAAAAAAAAAGCTTCAGACCCATTATCCAAAATTTTCACCTCCAAGAATTTGTCTTAGGAAATAGCTAAAAGCTGGACCTAATGGCTCCTGTTTGTAGTCCCAGTTACATGGGAGGCTACAGCAGGAAGTTCAGGGCCAGCATAGTGAGAACCTGTCTCTTTAAAAAAAAAAGAAGAAAAGTATAAAAATGTCACTAAGAAGTACAAAGAGATACATACAAGATCATTCATTGCAGCATTGTTTTTTTGTTGTTTTTATTGTTGCTTGTGGTGCTGGGGATTGAACCCAGGGCCTGTACATGTGAGGCAAGCACTCTACCAACTGAGCTATATCCCCAGCCTACAGCATTGTTTTTAATAATGAAAAACTAGAACAATCTGATATCCAACAGAAAAATGTTTAAATAATATCTTACTCTGTAATCTATCCTTATATTTCCTTGTGAATGGTAATCTCTAATTCAAAAATGCAGGAAAATACTTTCATCAAATACATAGACCATCAAACTATATCTTATATGTGACTGCTAATGTGATTTCCAATCCAATGATTTTCTTCACTTTCTTAACACATTTTCCTTTATTCCTAGTGCCACTTTCCTAATAATCAAATGAAAATWATGTTTACCAGCCAAAAAAAAATTCTGCACATTTTGTTTAAAATTATGTTTAAATATATACGTGTGGTTGAGCAACATGGGGCACACCTGTAATCCCAGCAGCCCAAAGGCTAAGGCGGAGAATGCAAGTTAAGGCCAGCCTGGGCAACTTAGAAAGGTCCTATGTCAAAATTTAAAACATTTTTAAAGGACTAGGAGAGCTGAGCACAGTGGCACATGCCTGTAATCCCAGCAACTCAGGAGCCTGAGGCAGGAGAATYACAAATTCAAGGCCAACCTCAGCAGCTTATCAAGATCCTGTCTCAATAAATAAATTATATGCTACTGTCATGTATAGATAATCAGAACAAATAAAATATATTTAATCAATTAATTAATTAATAGAAGGACTGGGGAGGTCACTCAGTGGTAGGGCACCTCTGGGTTCAATTCCCAGTGCCAGAAAGAAAGAAAAAAAAAAAGACCAAGGATGTAGCTCAGTGGTAGAGTGCTCATTCAAGTGGTAGAGTGCATGTTCAAGGTATCCTCAGTACCAAAACATATGTATATATGTGTATATGTGTGTGTGTGTGTGTGTATATATATATATATATATATATATATATATATATATATATATTCAGGAAAACAAAAATGTTAATAGTGGTTAGCTCCAATATGCTAGGGTTACAGATATATCCCAGTTATCTATTACTTCATTGCAATCCACTTCAAAATTTAGTGACTTAAAACAGCAACACATTATTATCTGTCATGGTTCTATGAATAGCCTGGCCTCAGCAGTTCTCACTGAAGTATCTCACATGATCACAGTCATATCATCCTCATGGGCTGGACTTCTAAAATGGGTCATTCACATTAGTGCTGGCTGTAGACAAGGAGCTCAATTAGGGTTGTCAACTGCAACACCTACATGTACCCTCTCCATAGGACTTGGGATTCTCCCAGCATGGTGGCTAGTTTTCAAGAGAAAGCGTTCCAAGAGACAAGAAGTAGAGGTTTGTTGGAAACCTCTTTAAGGACTAGAAACTGGCATAGATTTACTTCCACCATTTTCTGTTCATTAAACAGACACAAAAACCCATTCATATTCCAGGAGAAAAGACACAGATCTCACTTCTCATARTTGTGTCCAAAGAACAGTGGCTACCTTTAATCTGCCACAGAGTGATTTCAATATTTTTGTATTTAAAACTTTAATGCAAAAAAGAATGAGTTTTTAAATCAGAAAAATTATACCAGTAGATAATTTAAAACAAAATGCCTATATCATTTAAAAGGCTGAGGAAAGGAGGAACCATGGGCCCAAGATGAGAAGATCTTTACCAGGATGTGGGGGAGTGCTTTCATAGATAAGATGGGTTTGTTTTGGCCAGGCCTGGTGGCAACGGGCCTATACTCCCAGCAATTTTTAGGCTGAAGCGGAAGTATTGCAAGTTTGAGGTCAGTTTGGGCAACTTAGTGAGACTCTGTCTCAAAATATAAGTTGTTTTAAAAAGGGCTAAGAGTGTGGCTCAGTGATAAAGCACCCCTGGTTCAATTCCCAGTACCAAAAAAAAGATAAGGTTGTTTTAGTAAAAGCTTTCACATTCTAACCACCACAAGGGGCTACTCTAACTCAGATGTTGAAGCCCTCCTTATCAAAACAGTGACCAAAGTTCCACTGTCTTTAAAGATAAAGCAAAGTCTCAGAATGACTGTCCAATATGCAGAGCTTTTCTCAATGGCCCACCAATGGGGTGTGTCCCTCACTTAGAGACTGAAGGTRAGTACATATTTACAAGCTGTCAATCTTTCCCTCCCACTTGTCCCCCACCCCCACATTTGATTAGCTTGAAGCTGAGCACAGTAACTTCTTKTAAAACCAGCAACTCAGGAGGCTGAGGCAGGAAGATCCTAAATTCCAGGCCAGCTTTGGCAACTTTAGGAAGCTCTGTCTCAAATTTTACAAATAATAATAAGAAGTGTAGTGGCACTTCCTTTTTCGACAGAAAAGTCTTAACTGGGCTTCTCCAGAAATCTCCACCATGGCTGATTTTGGGACTGTCAACAAAAGAGTTTCTGCAAAAGAGTTTAATGTAGTTAAACTTCCTATTTTCATGTTGTCCTGTTGTACTTGGCCACTGGCCAGGAAGATACCAACACTTCAGGTGCTGGACATCCCCTTACTAGTTTCCAATATAATGGTTTATAGAAATGAGCAAACAACGCCTCTGCCCTTGAGCTGGGCTTCACAGAGATGTCTATATTTCTAAGAGAAGATACCAATTGGGCTCCATGGTAACAGCTGGCATGTGGAAGGAAAGAAAGGGGAGAAGCAGCTCTCCTCTTCCCAGTGCTGTCCTTGAAGTGTTAACTTGCCCAAAACAGTGAAAGAAAAAGCTTCTACAGACTGTGAACTTCTGAGCCCTTCCCCTTACATACTGGGTATAAAATTCTGAAACTACCTGAGCTCAGGGTTCAGGGGATTGATTAATTACAGTAAAAACTGTGCCCTCTGAACCTGGCTGTAGCCAAATAAAATTGTTTCCTGCTATCTTTGGTGCTTTGCCTCGTCTGTCTACAACAGAAGGACTGGGGATAAAGCTCAATGGTAGAGCACCCCTGGATTCAATCCCCAGTACCAAAATAAAATTAACTTTTGTTCCTCTGTAAGTGGACCCTGAGACAAGGATTCAAGTACAGGTAATGTATTTGGAAGACTATCTGGGAAACACTAGTGGAAAGTGCAGAAAGAAGGAGTTCATAAAAGGTATGAAAAAACTGAAGACTATGGACAACTAATGCTCAATACACTGAGGAACTTTGGAAGTCATTTTAGAACAGGCGTCATAGTTTTCCTGCCCTGGGAAAAAGAGAACTAGATTCTTATTTACAATTCATAACAGCTATTGGTTGAGTGGTTTTTTCTGGGGAAGTCTGAATTCTCTGGTGCATCCAGCCTGCCCTTCACCCATGCAGAAAAGCTTCCAGGAGCCAAAAAAAAAAAAAAAAAAAAAACCTCAGGCAAGACCGGGCATGGGCATGGTGGTGCACACCTGTGTGCAGCTTAGGAGGCTTGGGAAGCTAAGACAGGAGGATTTTGAGAGGCACTAAGCAACTCAGTGAGACCCTGTCTCTAAATAAAATACAAAAATAGGGCTRGGAATGTGGCCCAGTGGTCGAGTGCCCCTGAGTTCAGTCCCTAGTACCAAAAAGAAAAAAGAAAATCCTCAGGCAAGTATTTGTGGGTGCTGCAAGCAGGAAATCAGGCCAGCTTACATAAGAATGTAAATGCCAACAGAACATGAATGGGGCAACTATAGCATCTGTTACAGACACTCAAAAAATTTCTTTATGTATGTGGTACTGGGGATCCTTCTGGATTCTTTTCTCACATATTTGAGGAATAAAATCCACAGACAATAATGAAAAGTAAGAGTGAACAGAGTAGGATTTATTTTATTTAAGTAAAAAGGGAGAAAAGTCCCATATATGGAAGGGGACTGAGAGTGTTTCAGGGCTGGAGCGTTCCAGAAAACTGAGGCAGCATGAAGACACCCCCCAAATACACACTTCAAATCCAATTCTTGTGATCAAGTCAGAAGGATCTCAGACATGTCATTCAGAGAAACAGGCATGAATTTATTGAAGGAATAAGCAAAGGAAAATGGGACACTCTCAAAGGAGAGAGTGGGTCATCTCAGAGAGAAAAGGGACAGTGTGCCTCTCCTGTGCTCCAGTTTTTGGGGATCCCAG